CAAAAGAGCGCATTGAAATGCTTAAGCATTTAATTGAAAGAAATCAATCTACAACAAGCATTTCCACTTCTCTTAATTTATCAAAGCGCACAGTTCAAAATTTTGTCGTTAAGTTAAACGGAGGATAATTCGACGACATGACTGCATTCAAGTCGTTTTCTGATAAAAAACGAGGTAAAAGACCTATAAACTCTCAAATAAAAAATATTATCGAATTATGCGTACAAGAAAACAATCTTTGCACGCAAGAAGCAATAAAAAAAATTCATTCTGCAGCAGGCTTCAACATGTCTCAGTCTACTATTTCAAGAAAACTCAAACGCTCAGATTTATCAAGAAAACGTGTTGTGGATGTGCCGAAGAACAAAACTCAACACCAGTTACTAATGCACGCTATGCATTTGCAAACGAAATAAACGGAACTTTAGATGAAAAACTTATTTATTTGGATGAAACTGGATTTAATGTGCACACTAATAGCACATATGGTTGTTTGCTAAAAGGTACCGCCAGCAATTTTACAGTCACCTGCAAATCGTGGTAAGAATGTTAGTTTAATTTGTACTGTTTCAACAATGGGAGTGCTTGCTTATGAAATAAAAACTGGAGGCTGGAATGCAGATTCATTTTGTACTTTTATAACTACAATGATGGTACCAGCGATTAGGAATGAAAATGTTAAAGCGCCGGTGCTTGTTATGGACAATTGTAAATTCCACTGGAGTCTTTCTATTAGGCAAACACTAGCCTCTCATTGTATAGCTATTAAGTATTATATTACATGGTATAGCTATTAAGTATTACAGCTATTAAGTATTGATATTAATAATAATTATAAATAATTAAATTTAAATCTAGATAAATGAATAATTAGATAAATAATAACTTAATCAATCAAGAAATTTAATAATAAAATTACAAAGAACTAATACTAAATTAAATAAACTATCATCAAAAACAAAGAACTAATACTAAATTAAATAAACCATCGTCGAATGTAAAAAGTCTTCGTTTTAAGTATTTTTAACATCGTTTACCTAGAAATAAGAAGAATTTGTTTTGAAAAAATAAACTGTTTTTTCAAAACTAATTGCTTAAATGATTTTTTTTTGTTCAAATTGCTTTTTTACAATTGCTTTTGTAAAACGCATATAAGAATGAATAAAGGCGCATATAAAAATGAATAGACGGGCATATTAGAATGAATAACCCTGTAAAAACAAAGTTTAAAACCCAGAGCCGGGGTTAAGCTACTCTACATCTTCAGTAGGAGGGAGGGGGAGAATATCCTAACAAATATAGGGGGCCCATTTATGGATCCTTTTAAAAATTTAGGGGCCCTTTTATTTGTTTTTTTAGCAACAACTTACGGGGAAATTTTGAGATTTTGGGGTCCTTACGGGAAAGTTATGCGATTTTGGGGTCAATGTTATAAAACTTTTTGTCGGGAAAATTTTGGAAAACTTTTTTTAGGAAAACTTTTTGTCTTAAGGGAAAATTTTGAGATTCTAATGACTTGTTTTTAGAAGAAGGGGGGGGGGCCTCCGACTAACTTGCCACAGCACTGGTAAAACCTGTTTTTTGCGGACTTAAATAAGGGGTTTCCTGAAATACAATTAATTGATCCAAATTTATAAAGGCACACCTGTTTTTCTCACTATTTCCCTCGAATTTAATAATTTCATTAATATTTATTTACTAATTTAATAAAGATTATTTTAAAACTTCGGCAAGCTTCGATTATCATAAAAATCGCTTTTAATTAAGCAATGAAAAAAACCTTTGTTAAACTTGAGCATGGTAGTAAAAATATTACAACAGTTGCACAATTTTGTTGCACAACAATTGTTGCGGAAATTGATTCTATTTTCGCAACACTTGTTTGACAACATAAATTTTTTTGATAAACAAATATTCAAGTCTGATTTGATTCACAGAAAATAATGTTTATCAAAGTTCAACTTACATAATATTAACTAAATTACGCAACTTAACGAATATTATCGAATTTATTTAAATTGATTTTAATTAGTCAATTAATCATTTAATTGATTAGTCGTTCCGTTCAACAGATATGAGGATATTTATACTTTGTTTCTATATATAATTATTATTTTGATATTTGCATTTAAAAAATAAGAGAAATAAAAGCAACCATTGAAACATTTCTTATTAATAAATTACTAAAAGTTTAATTTTTACTTCCCGCTCTAAGTTAATTAGCTCGTTGGTTAGGACTTTTAAAATGGATTGTAGTCAATGTTGTTAATCAAGACTAGTCTAAGCATTCATTCAAAATGTTTAAAAATTGCTTTAAAAAACAATTTAAAGTTTCGTTATAAACCACACTTTAAAAAAAAAAGTTGATTAATGTTTTGTAAGCGGTAGTAGCACTTCACCATTAAAAACCGTTGACATTGTAACGACATTGCGTTGTTACGAGCTCATATTTTTTAAAGGGCTTTGAAGACTTGGATTTCTGTAGAAGATTCATCAAATAAGATCAATCATGAAAAAATATTTAAAACATAAATGCTGTTCAGCAATACCTTAAAGCAAAAAAGCACTAAAATATAAATGGTAACCACCACCAAAAACCTGAAAGGCAACAAGTTGATAAAATATTTTTTGTATAGTATTCTCTCGCAGCGTTTAAAAGTTATGACTATATAAAGTTTAACCCCCCCCCCCCCCATTTGAAGGGATTTCGAATTTTTAATGGTCATAATTTTTGAACGCTGAGAGATAATGCTATGAAAATTTATAGATGAATATAAGCCTAGTTGAGAATAGTGCAAAAATATTTTATCAACTAGTTGCCCCTCACGATCGTAGTGGGGGTGGGGGATAAAAGTTAGGGGCTTTTTGTTAACAGCCTCGAATCATCTCAATTTTTTGGAAAGCATCATTATTTGACATAAGTATATACATAAAAATGTTTGGAGTTTGCTCCATGTCTGGAAGTTATCTTAAATACCAAAAAATGATGGATCCGTCACTGCTTCTCAATATTCTTTTTTAGTTATGCAAATGTCAATCAACTTACTAAACCTTCATCCGAAAGTTGCTTTATACTTGTTGCCAAGTCATTATTTTAAATATATATATATTTTTTTATATATTTTTTTTAGTTTATAATTATTAATCGTAATATAACAATATAGCAATATATAAACTTGGTATCTGAAAGAAGATCCAAAAGAACTTGTCGCCAGAACCATATAAAATATATCATACGTCTATATAAAATAAAATAAAAATACAATTGATTTAATAACTATTAACAATGTAGAATAAACTAAGACTGAAAATAATTTTACAAATATCCAGAGTGAAAACAATTTTGCATTTTAAAAATATTTATATATATTGCCAGTAGAAAGAATATAGCTTTTTAATTTAGTTTTAAAAACGGAAAACGAAATTGACAAATCAAAATTAGGAACAACAATTTTGTTCCATAAATACGGTGCACGATAGTTTATAAACTTTGTGTGATAAAAGGGTTCATAATAATAAATTACTATTTCGTAAAGTATATTTGTTTATAGCTTTATGGGTAAAAAGATCTTTAAAAATGAACAAAGGTTTTTCACTTTTATAACGAAACATAAAACATATAATATTACAGACATTGAGTTCGTAAACGTTAAGTGTTTTAACGTTTTTAAATAAAATATTTGAATGCGAAAAACGATTTTCAAAACATATTAAACGCAATGCGTGTTTCTGACGATGTTAAAGATTTAGTAACTTTAACATCGTCAAGTAAACTTTTTGATCTAAAAACGGGTACTTCGGAAAGACCAACCGGTTTTTTGATCTAATAAGGGTGCTTCGGAAAGACCAACTGGTTTTTTCCTTATTATATGTAAAAATTATAATTTAAAAGAAATTATAACTTTTTTTTTCTTAATCTATAAAAAAAGTAAAAACTCAATTTTAAATAAAGTAAATAACGTTAAGAAAACGTTTAAGAAACGTTTAAAAGAGCGGTTTATTTAAATTAATTTATTTAAATTTATTTTGTCTAATGTAAAAAATCTTAATCCAAGTATATTTCTCACAGATAGGGCAAGAAAACGTTTCCTATAAAAAAAGATAAAAAAAAATTAAAAAAAGTTTTGGAACAGCAAATAAAAATTACTATAGGGAGTGGAGAGGGGGGAGGGAGCTACCGTCAGTTTTTTTTTAAAAAGTTGTCTATATCTTAGAATTTCTAAAAAATAAAGTTGTAATAAAATTCATGACTTTGGCCATGAATTATTTTACAACATCAAAGAAAATAACTTTTTTGCAGTATTTGATGTTTTTTAATTTTTGTTTATACTTTATATCAATTTTTAAAATTTTAATTGTAAATATTTAAAAAAAGAATTTATACTTTTCCCCCATAATATCATTTATCATAAAAAATATAATATTACTGTAAAATGAAAGTTTTTTATAGATATGTTTATCGAGTATAAAGCTCTATATTTTTATATAATATATAATAAAACAAAAATGTTTATAATTTTAACAAATTTTAATCTTTAAAATTAAGTGTCGACGTATTCTGCACCGAGCTTCCGTTGTTTCTGTTATTATTAATTATTGATTGCGAAAATAAATGAATTATTTATAAATGTGGGAAGAATTAAAAAAAAAAAATGCGAAGATAATTTTTGACATTTAAAGGTTTAAAAAAATATATTTAAATGCTTTTTTTCTCGAGGTTTTAAAAAAACTCAGAGATTTGAACATGTTAGTAATTTATTTTTAAACAATAACAAAAAAAGCTGGAATGAATCTGGTTCATTATCTAATAAACAAAACTATATGGTGTATAACTCATTAACCAGCAAATAACCTTTAATCCATTTTATCAATAATTCAAAGCAGATATTTTTGTAATGAAAATTAATGCATTTTTCAGTCTTGTTTAAGATTGTATTACAGTATGTAAGAAAAAGTAACGGAAAAATTGCATGCTTTAAATATAGCTACAAAAATATTACCTAATGCTTTTCTTTTCTTCGTCAAGAATTTTTTGTATTCATCCTTTAACATGTTTTTGTACTTCAAAGTCTACGAATAAACATTTATTAATAAAAAGCTATTTTGCTGACAGAGTCGTTTATCCATTTATAAACTTCATTTAGTATTGCTATGCAACAGTAGTTTTACGACTTTAACAGAGGTTTTCTACTTTGAATAGGTCTTTAATTAACAAGTTTTTATATTAAAAAAATATATAAATATTTCAATAAGATAAAAAATTAAATAATTTATAACATTTTATAGAAGATCAATACTTTAAAAATTCGTGAAATATTTGTTGAGTGTCTCAAAGATTTTCACATTATACATTATTAAAGTTTTAATATGACCTTTTTCATGTTATAACAATTTGATAAATAATGCATTAAATGATGCATTTTTAAAAAAATAAACAAACATTAAAATATCACGATCTGTAATAGCAGTCAAAAAATGTTAAGACGAAAATGAGAAAACATTTTAATATATTGTTGGGTATTTTTCTATTGTTTTCGTAATTTTTGATTAGTTGAGGCAAATGTTTATATAAAGTGACAGGTTAAATCAAATTATTTTGATCTTTTTTGTTGTTGTTATTGGGGAAGGAAGAGGGGGATGATCAAAGCAAACCATATAAATAAATATTTTAAATTTATAAAAAAAAAAAAAAATTCTTAATATTTTCTTTATGCTTTTGATGTGTTAAACACATCAAGTCCCAGAAATATTGCTTAAAAGTATTCTTTAGCGCATTTTTAAATAATAACTAGCCGTTCAGAGTTTGTATTTTTAACATCTGAAACTTCAGAATAATCAGCAATTTATTGATCAGTTCATATTCTATAAATAAATTATAAAATCAAATATATGTTTACTTTACATTAGCTTTCATACACCATATTTACGATTTTGAAAAGTAGAATACAATACAGGTCTAATAATGTTACGTGTCCATTTGAGTACGTTTTGATATCAACACTATAATATTTCTTTAAAAATATAATTTTATCATCAGAGTTATGCCATTACTTTAAAGATATATCACTATTGACATTTACAGAGTTAATTGTTTGTTCCATTATAATTGTATTTAAAGTGTTCACATATAAAGCGTCAACAAGGTCCGTACTATATATGGAGGTAGGTTAAGTACCACAAATTCTCTATTTTTCAACTTTCTGTCGGTAAAGAGGCAAAATTTATAAAATTGCATACATTTTTTTATATATATATAAAAATATAAGTAAAATAACCTTATGGATTTCCTCCCCTGGTATATGTACGCTTAGTACGTTCTCACGATTTAAAAATATTTACGCGTTCACAAAGAAAATTCTAGACGCAAAGCTTGGAAAGTTCGACTAGAAAGGTCCTGTCAAAAAATGTTTGCGCTAAACAGTTTTAATGACGGGGGTATTAAGAATAATTTTAGTTTTTTTTTTTTTTTTTGTTGTTTTGTTTTTTTAATTAAGTTAAAATAAATTAATTAATTAGAATAAAATCTAAAACATACTTTTTTATGGTTTAAGCTAACAGTAAACGCTTGAACTTGACTTGCACTAAATTTGATTATACTCGGCTAAATTAAATAAAAAAACCCAAATAACTAGTTTTGATATTTCATTGTTTTTTTCTAAGATCAAAAAGAATTCTAAGTATCATATTTGAACCTGTACATAAGAAAATTTATTAGAAAGAAAAACGTTGTATTCACGGCTGAATTTTTCAACGCGCGAAAAAGTCAGAAAATTTTATTTAAAAACTTGAAAAATTGTTTAGTATTACACAATTTTTTTACCCATTCTCCATTACAAAAATTTGTTTAATATCTTAATTGGCCTAGTTTGGTTCAATTTCATATTTACATCTTAATTCCTACTCTACGTCATTTGTGTTTTCTATTGATTATGTAAATCAAGTCTCTTGATTAACATAATTATTTGAGCAAAATGAAAAAAAAAAAACTGTCTGGTTTATTTATTTTTTACCAAACACGATCAAGTGCAAATTTAAATTATTTCCGAAGATTCTTTGTCAAAACTGTTTTATATCTAAATATTAATTATTATAAATTTATTTACATTGAGTAAAAATTCTAACAGAAGTAAAAAATAATTTATCAATGTTAAGTTACTATTATTTTGAAATAAACTTTGGTTTATGAAATTTATATTAATATTTATATTAATAGATATATTTTCTTTGATTTATAACAGATTTATAAAATTTATTATTATGTATTTTTATTACAAATTTATTATTATGGATTATTATTGTAGATTTATTATTACAGATTTGTGATTTTTACAAATACATGATTATTATTATGGATTCATTATTACGGATTTATATTTTTAGTTTTTATTATTTTCAGTTTTTATAGTATTATTTTATACTATATTGTTTTTAAAACTGTAAAGGTTCTGATTATAAGATCATTACGATCTTTCTTCGGAAGCCTTATTTGATTGTTCTTGTAAAATATAGTATTTGTTTTACGACAAATATAAACAAAAAAAAAAAAAAAAAAAGTAACAGTGCAAAAAAGTGTAAAAGGTATGTTTGAAACAAAAAAACAACCAAACTGCTGAAGCTTATAATTTTTAAGGGTTTGGCCAGGGTTATTTTTTAAGCATTTTTTTATATTGTTAACGCTTTTAACGTTATTAAACAAACGTTATCAGTACTTATCGTTACGCGACGTTACGTACCTTAGAACGATGACATCAACAAAATTAAAAAATAAAACAAAATAATAAGTTAGAACAACATTTAAAATTTACTTTATAAGTAAACAATCATTATATTTGAATGTTTGACGAAAAATGTTTTTTTCAAATGCTATAATGATATGAAATTGTCATATGAATATGTCATATTGCTGAAAAAGTGCTCCACCCGTGGCCCTTTATAAAAACCAAAGTAAATATTTTGTGTTTAATTAAAAATAATATCCGTTCATAGTGACAACAAAACACGTTGTATTTTTACTGGGTTTCATGTTTTTAATGTTATAAACTGTATAAAACATCAATAAAACAACATGGTGACGTTGTTTTATATTAACTCAAGCTTTTTATATTGACAAAACAATCTTGTAGTTATATTTTACTGTTGTTTTATACACTTTTTCACTATAACAATTTAATACGCTTTTAAAATATAACATCTTTTATTGTCTGAAAGTGTGATTGGGGTATAAGATACTGAACGACTTGTTTTGTAATTAAGACATTTTGGAAGAGTGGTTTGATAACCACGTGCTTACCATCTTATTGCCTCAAACAATAAGAAAAGCCTTATAGTTTGCAAAGTTTGAAGACAATAAATTAAATTAAAAATTTTGCATAAAACATTTGACCATATTTTAGAAATGTGCGAAGTTTTTTATTATTTTGACTAATCAAAGTTAGAAGCATTTTTTTCAAATCAAAGTAAGAAGCTTCAAATTTTTGAATTTAGTTGAGACATAAGCGCATTCACATCAATGTAACTCTTGCTAGATTGTAAAACTTACCTATATCAAAGAGAAACCTTTCATGCTAAAGCTTCCTTTCTTTCAAATATTTACATCATTTGCTTTTTCAAATAAATTCATTTATTAAATTTTTCGAGTTTTCTATTTTTAATCTTCGCTTGTTTAAAATTTTTATTGGCTGTCAATAGTTCATTTTGTTATTATTTGTTTATAAACTGTACACATTCTATTAGGGATATTACAATCAAAAATTCTATTTGAAGTTTTATTAAGTGCATGAAAGAAATAAGCGGCTTTGTAATAAAAACAAAGAATTTCCTTGTGCTCAAAAGTAACGTTACTTCGACAAACGGAGGAATGGTTTTTACGCTAAATGTTAAAATGCAAGAACGAAATTTTTTATTTATATAGCAATACTAAAGATTACACTATTTAGTTTCCTGCTTTTATGTTTACTTAGCAAGCATTTGGACAACAAAATAAGTTTTTTTAATGTTCTGAACATATTTTAAAAGTTCAAACAACGTCTTTTTCGGACCAAATGCCCGCTGAGTTATTCAGTTAAAAAATATTCTACGTTTTTAAACGTTTCAAGGTTTAAAAAAAAAAAAAAAAAATCAAACCTAGAAATTAGGATAAGTTTTAATAAATTATGAATTGGTAATAATACTAAAAAAATTATAAGTTTAAGATTTTATTTTGAACGAAGATATCAAAAGTACATCATCTGTTTTTAAATAAAACTTACGTTTTTATCTTGGCGGCACTTGTTGTATAGGAACTATTTTTTAGCAAAAACATGTACTTTCAATGACTGCCATATGCATTAAACCTAAAGTTGTGAACATATGTTTTTTTTCTTATTTTATCTTTCCAAATAATTATTTTATTATCATCAAGCTTTCAAAATAAATGCCCACGTATATATATATATATATATATATATATATATATATATATATATATATATATATATATATATATATATATATATATATATATATATATATATATATATATAATAATTATCTTCAAATTGAGTAGTTTTTTTTTATTTTAATTGGTAAAAAAAAAAGTTTCAATATATTTCTTTTTTTTTTTTTTTTTTTTTTTTTTTTATTCTTATTACAATTTTATTTGGTATAATATCGTTTTACATAAAATAAAAAGAACACGGAAACTCGAAGAGGATGGCAAGATCCTGTCACCGAAAACCGTTTAACAATGCGATACAAAATAAATAAAAACAAAATACCGATATTTACAATACAAGATTTTTAATAAGCCAAAACCAAACATAAAATACCGTTAAAAAATGTCAAAATATGTAATAAAACTAAATATTTAAATAAAATATTCAAAAAAACTCGAAGGTGTTATCAATTGTCAAGATAACTTTTTTCAGTTTATTTTTGAAAGTAAGCAAACTACAATTTTTAGAAAAATCAAAGTTTTTTAACACTATTTGGTTCCACAGAAAAGCTCCGCGATATGATATAAGATATATCATATCGCGGAGCTTTTCTGTGGAACCAAATAGTGTTAAAAATATCATCAACATTATTCGCACACAAATTTTGGAAGATATATATGATATCTTCCAAAATTTGTGTGCGAATAATGTTGATGAATAAGATTGTTATTTCTTAATTCATTTTTGTTTCTTGGCTTTATTGCATATAAATTTTGAAAAAATATTGGGGTTAAGTTTATCTTACATTTGTACATAAAGCAAAGAACATTAAAAACATTTAGTTGATATATATTAAGAATATTTATGTCTATTAAAAGAGGTTTTGCATGAGTATAACGATCTTTAAAATTTATTAGACGTGCTAGATGCTTCTGTTGCAGATAAAGAGGTTCTAATTGACTATTATTAGCACTACACCACGCAATGTTAGCATAGTTTACATGACATTGGATTAGCGAGTAATAAAGTTGAATTAATGCATGTCTATTTACAAAATTTCTCGCTTTATACAACACTCCAATATTTTTTGAGACTTTATTGCATAATGTTTCGATATGATTTTTCCATGTTAAGTTTTTATCAATGAAAACACCAAGGAAATGTATAACTTTTGATTGCTTTATTTGAACATTGTCAATATATATTTGAGGCATATCATTTGGTAAAAGTTTTTTTTTGGATTTAGGTCCATTGAGTTTTTTCTAAGTTAATTGATAATTTATTTGTCTTAAACTAATTTGAAATTTTAACTAACTCTATGTTTATGTCATTAAAAATATAAAAGTGTTTATATATTGATGTACTATAGGAAAATATATGATGATATTATACCCTGTAATGTGTGTGAAATTTTCTGCCGCCAAACTTCTATAACTATTTATACGCTTGGTACAGAGGAAATAAAATGAATTTTTAACTTTAGTAGAAGACAGGTAGAACGTGAAAAAGATATTAGGGACAAAAATTGCAGTTTTGCAGGTCTGATGAATATTTATATATTTGCAAGTAACTTCGTTAATTAGACAGGTGTCAACAATCTAATCAGAAATCTAGGACATTATGGAAATAGCGGCTTAGATCAGTTTTGTTGCAGTTGTTCATGACTTCCTATGTAATCACAAACTATGTGAAGTTAGAAGTCATATTGTATATGCAAAATGTCACTTGAAATCCATATCCTCAACATCTACTTCGATAAATTTATAGAAAAAATCAAAGTTTACTCATTACAGCGAGGCCAGCGCTTTAAAAAAGATAAACTATACTTTGAACGTTGTTATTAAAGACAATGAAACAAAAAGATGTTAGGGAATTACATTTGAGTAGGGCTGTGCCAATAGGGGTGTGGCAGTGAACATCCCCAGATTTAACAGTATACGGTAAAGTTGTTGGTAGTAAACTACTTTTTATAGCAACTGTAAGCACTAAAAGCTTTATTTAAACTGTTTTTAATTTTTTCAAACAACTAAGTGTTTGAAGTTGTTAAAATTTTTAACGCTATCTAACTGTTTGAAGTTGTTAAATTTTTTAACGCTATTATAAACAAATAATTTTTTACTACAAAAAAGTGTCTTTTTGCTATTTGACAAGACGCTAATGACCTAATTTGAAAAATTAGATCATTAGC